CAGCTGGCCTGCGACACCTGTCACAGGCTTTTGAGACCGAGCACCCGAATTTTTAGCAGCTCTTCAGTGGAGGAATCCACCGAGATGAGCGCTAAGGCTGCCGTTTTGACAAGTCCTGGAGAGGTGCCGAAACAGACAGCCACAAACGGAGAGTCTTTGACCTCGGGGTCTTTCCCTGACAGCGGGAAGGTTAACCTGTCCAAACAGCTGTCTTTTGCCCCTCGGTTTGGGGAGCCCCAGACGGCTGCTGTGCGACTGAGATAGAAGAGTAGCGAAGACAGGTTTCGGACAGATGGAAAGAAGGTGCCATAAATCGTTGAGGGGCAGGAAGGAAAAGAGACAATGCTGCTCAATGCCCGATGAGCTGGCATCGAGGGATGATGAATTGTACTTGTTCTTCATGGAATCCCAAAGTCACCGGTGGACAAATGCCTTGATGAGAATCAAGGATGAATTCACAACAACTCTTGTCCAAGCTGAAAAATTTGTTTTGCCTGAGGCTAGAAGGAAATGATTAAACAGCGGTTGAATGTAGGTTTCCAAGGAAGAGGATTTACTAAGTTGTGGATGCGTTAGGAGAAAACTTAGCTGTAAGAGCCAGGAGCCAGGATCCTCAAAGTTTCACCTGGAAGATAGGCCAGCCAAGATCACCTGGAGCATATGGGTCTGATAGTATTATATGCCTTGCTATCTGTGTGGCCCTGGGCAAGATGCCCAGTCCTAGAGTATCACCAGAAGGGCATTGTTGCCAATTAACAATGTCTGAATACAGTGGACCCTCGACTTACAGACAGCTCGACTTACAGACTTTTTGAGTTACAGACTTCTCTGGCTGCAAAATTTAGATTCGACTTGCAGCCAGAGAATCGACTTACAGACCAGAAAAAAACCAAAATGGAATAAAAATAGAATAAAAACCACTGGTTATGGGGTTAATCGGTTTTCAGTGCATTGTAGGTCAATGGAGATTCGACTTACAGACTTTTCGACTTGCAGCCACCATTCCAATACGGATTAATTCCTTAAGTAGAGGGTCCACTGTACATTGTTGTTGTTACATGCCATCAAGTTGACCGTGACCTAGGACTACCCTAGGAATGAGCCATCTCCAGAAGGTCCTGTCCTCAACTGCCCTGCTCAGGGCTTGCAAACTCAAGCTTATGGCTTCCTTGAGGGAGTCAGTCCATCTCGTGTTGGGGTCTTCCTCTTCTCCTGCTGCCTTCCCCCTTTCCCAGCCTGATGGTCTTTTCCAGAGAATCCTGTCTTCTCATGAGGTGCCCAAAGAAGGACAACCTCAGATTCAACATTTTGGCCTCCTGAGATGGTTCAGGCTTGATTTGATCTAGGACCCCACTTGTTTGGCAGCGAAGGGTTTCTACAAAGCTCTCTTCCACTACCGTATTTCAAACGAATCCAATTGTTTTTCCCCGTCAGCTTTCTTTGATTTTCCATCTTTCACACCCATCCATGGTGTTCAGAAGTACAAAAGTGCAGAGGATCTTGGCTTTGGTTTCCAGTGATACAACTCGACGACAAATCTTTTCTAGTTCCCCCTTTGTAGCCCTTCCGAGTCCCAGTATTCTGAGTTAGTTTGTTTTTACAACTCGAAAACCTAGGAGTGTTGCCGTTATTGGAATTGAGCTGACAGCCGTCACAAATATGATTTAGTAAGAGAATTCCCTGCAGTGCATGAACGGCCACAAACAAGATACTGCCTGTTTTTCAAGGCATAGTCCTGATTTCCCAACAAGCATATACAGTACTTTGTACTGCAACTCGCACCCTGTTGGTGGCAGTTTGGCACAGTGAGGTTTTTAACTTATGTATGTGTACACCCCCAACAGGATTCTGGCCATGGTCTTTTCCCCAGTGAAATTTCCCAGAGATCATGTGACCTTCTGACCTCAAAT